TGAAAGTGCTTTAGAGCCTCTAGTGTCTTTTCTTATAATAATTTAATTAAATTTCTTAAAGGATAAGTCATTTGCCAAAATCACTCTTATTTTAGCAGGTACTAGCCCTGCCCACCCACCCTCCCTTTTCTTGGGGAATATGTCACTTGCCAACGTCGATCTTATTTTAGCAAGTACTAGCCCCGCCCACCCACCCTCTATTTTCTTGGGGGGTATGTGATTTGCCAAAATTAGTCTTATCTGAGCAAGATTTGCGTATAATAATCGTAGATGTTAAAAATTCAAAAATGTTAGGGAATTTGGGAGCTCCTTCCTCAGCAATTTCAATGCGATTACGTAGATCTTCCAAATTATCAATTTCAAGGCTGTAAACCCCGTTGTTTAAAGCACTGCAGAGGAAAAATTCGCCTGGATTTAAATCGGGTGGGCGGGCGGGCCACTGAATTATCCACTACAATCGATCCAATGACTGGAAGTTTCTTGAAGTTTCTGAGACTTTTCAAAATAAAGCTCGTTTTTTATTTAACACAGCGTATTCATTTTATTTGTTCACGCCTAACAATTTTTGCATAGGCAACAGATTTTTTTGTTTTAATAAGCAATCATAGCAATCACAGAAAAAAAAATGACAAAGATGTCAATGCCAAATAATGACAAAATTGAAAAAATTTTACAAATTACAACGAAAACGAATCTATACTTATAGTGTTTGTTTAATTGAACGTGCTAATCTTAGAAACTACTGGTTCGAATTCAAAAAATCTTTTTGTGTTGGATAGTTCATTTATCGTATCTAGATATAGGCTATATAACATCACGCTACGATCAAGAGGAGAGAAGTAGCAATGAAAAATTCGGAAAAACGGGAAAATTATTCCTCTTTTGACAGCTTCCGTTGCTTACACTGCTTAAACGGTTAAAGTTACGTAAAAATCATGTACAATGAAATTGTTCCCCTCTAAAAGTTCTAAAAAAAAGTCCGGACAGCATATGTCTATCTTTTAAGGTCGACTCAGTAGAACCTTTTTTATGGTAATGAAATTTGTTCTAAAATAATAATGCATCATGTATAAAATTCTCGCGTCACAGTGTTTGTAACCGAACTCCTCCGAAACGGGTTGACCGATTTGTATGAAATTTTTATGTATATTCGGTATGTCTGATAATAGGTTGTAAACTATTTTTTATACCCCTGAGTGCTAAGGGTGGCCCACCCTAAGAAGTTTGTTTTGGTTTATTTTTTGGACAACATTTTTTATTTTTATTGAAACAAAAATTATAAAAAAATTTCATGATAAACAGACAAAAAAGGCGATAAAAAATGGGAAAAAATGCAAAGAAAAAATGCAGCGTAAAAACGTGAAACAAAGGCAGAAAACGACAAAAATGCGCCAAACACGACAAAGAAACCGACAAAAAAAGTCCATTAAAACAGACATAAAAATACAAAAGTGACCAAAAAGACAAAATGTGTCAAAAAAAAGATAACCCAAAAAAATCAAGAAACGTGATACAAAACTAGAGATAAAAGAGTTGGAAAAAAGGTGAGAAAAAATTGCAGACAAAAAAAAGATAAAAAGGAGGCTAATAATTTCATAAAAAAGGGCATAAAGGCAATAAAAAAACAAAACGCGAAACAAAGGTGAAAAGGTAACAAGAAAAGGACCAAAAAGGCCCAAAAATGCGCCAAAAAAACTATAAAAAAGGCAACTAAAGAAAAGGGAGTGAAAAAAATGGTTTTAAGGAGACAAAAAAAGGAAAAAAAGCCGAAAAAAAGATGGAATGAAAAAACTTGTTTAAAAAAGCCATCAGAAAATACAACTAAGAAAAGAGGGTCAAGAAAAGATGACAAAACAAAGACAACAAAAAAAGGCGAAGCAAAAGTTAAAAAATCCACAAAATGAGGTCATAAAAAGAGCACAAAAGACCCACAAAAAACAGCAAAAAAGAGAGCAAAAAATTGTAAAAAAGGTGGCAAAAGAGGCGATAAAAAACAACGAAAAATGTGGTTAGAAAAAAGTAAAAAAACAGAAAGAAAAAAATACAGTAAAATCCCCAAATCACCAAATCCTCAAAATCCTCCAATCAAATCCTCCAATAACCAAATCTTCAAAATCCTCAAATCCTCATAGTACAGTACTCCACAGTAAAACAATGCAATAAAAGGGCAAAACATGCGATCAAAATATACACCAAAGAGGGTGGAAAAAAGGTGACAAAAAAGACGATAAAAAACAACGAATAAAACATGCTTAAGAAAGGAAAAAGAAAGAGACGAAGAAAAAGATACAGTTAAATCCTCAAATCACCAAATCTTCAAAATCCTCAAAACCCCAAATCTTAAAAATCCTCCACCCACCAAATCCGCGAATCCTGAAATCTCCAAATCCTTAAATCACCAAATTTTTAAAACCTCAACTTCCTCAAACCACCAAATACTCAAATACTGGAAATCCTCAAATCTTCAAATCACCAAATTTTCAAATCCCAATAACGTAAAAACAGTAAAAAATATAATAAAAGAACAAAAAATGTGATCAAGGAAGGGGAGGGAAAAATCGATAAAAAAACAACCAAAAAATATGGTTAAAAAAGGAAAAAAATAGATGAAGAAAATGATACAGTTAAATTCCCCATATCATTAAATCCTCAAAATCCTCCAACCATCAAATCATCAAATCCTCAAATCACCAAATCCTCAAAATGCTCAAATTACCAAATTCTCAAATCCTCAAATTCCTCAAATCACCAAATTCTCAAATTCTGGAAATCCTCAAAATCTTCAAATCACCAAATTCTGAACATTCTCAAATCCCCTAATCCAAATAACGTTAAAACAGTAAAAAATGCATTAAAGCACAAAAAGCTCGGTCAAAATATACAATAAAGGGAATGGAAGAAAGGTGAGAAAAAAGGCGATAAAAAAAACAACAAAAAATATGGTAAAAAAGAAAAAATAGAGACGAAGAAAATGATACAGTTAGATATCCAAATTTTCACTTTTCTACCACCAACCCCCATTTTTTAATCTTATGTAATAAAAATCAATTGCTGTTCCTGTTAATCTCGCTAAAATTCAAAAACGGCTTAACCGATTTGAAGAATTTTTTATGTTACGGGGATGGTTTATAAATAAAAAAATAGAGAAGACTTAAAAGAACAGCTAAAAAATCAAAAAATTCTAAAAATTTTGTATGATAATCGCCACTTCGAATTAATTTCAATAGTTGGCGTTCCTGACGGACCTGTCGTCTAACTGACGTGTCATACAAAACTATTTCTTCCGTGCGATTGTGAAAAGTATACTTATTGAATTTCAAATCGTTCTTTGTTTTTTCGTAAAAAAACGTCGTTTATTTTAAGAAAAGTCTTGGTTAAAGTGAATTTAGTTACACATTGCGAAAGTTTCTTATTAATTTTGATCTGCCATTCTATCTATCTATATTCACTTTGTTGGTTTCGACAAAACCTCAAACTTTACCGTTATTCGAGGATTTAATTTGAAGTTTTCAATATTTTAAAATTCTCAAGACAAAATTTACAGATCTGATTGACTGAAAATAATTCATAGCTTTGATCAACCGACTTCAATCGTTTCGAAAATTTTCCCAAAATTTAAACATTGTCGAGTGAACGAATCATGGAATCCGATAAATTAAAACTGAAGCCGTAAGATTTATTTAGACCTTTTATTTATGCATAAATTGTGCAGTGCGTTCTTTCTAACACTGGCCATAGAGAAGCCCATCTCAAGGTGTCTACCCCATACTGACTTATATTCTGGTGACTTGATTTTTGCTTTGATGGTTGAACGCTGTCACTGTTTTCCTTTTTTGTTGTATCGAGATACTACTTGAGCATCAACTGTTACCTACTGAAGTATTAGCATCATCTAGAAATACTAGAAATATTTTGATTTGATATTCGAGTATGAGCATCTACTGAGTTTTATTTATATCAACCATTATCAAAAAATTGATCGAAAGTTGTTTCGACAGAACTTCCTTCGCACGAAAAGTATAGTGAAACATATTCAGCATTTTCGAGTTGAGTCTTTTCTTCACACAATTTTGTGATGACTTAATCAACATTTACGATCAATACGTATACGACCTTGGATTGGTGCAGTGTAATACTAAAAATAACTGTATTGTATTCCCAAAATTATCTGCGAAAATCGAGTGAGCCGTTCCATCAATTTTTTGGGGGGAATAAATAAATATTCTTAACAATTTACCATGCTTACAATAACTTTAAAACGTCTGCAAGATCTCAAAGTATTCATTTCTGCAACTCTTAAGTTATTCAATAAAATAAATTGACTGATCCATACGTTTTTTTGATTCAGTGTAAAAGCAAATCTTAAAAATATGAATGCAATGATAAATTACGGAAAAATGCTGATGATATTTTGCACATTTTAGATAGGAAAAATCTTGAGCCTAGAACCTCTTGATGCTAAACTAAGGAGAAACAAAAACGTTCTAGTTTTATTTAACTATCAGACGGACGTCCACAATAGATACATGTTTCCTCAATTAAAATTCACTGATATATGCACATGTTTGCGGACAATTTGGAAAAATTTTTCATTGCCGCCTATCCCTCTACTGTTAGTACAGTGTGCAAAATGACGTTTGCGTCATTAACATTTTTTAATTTAATAGTGATAATTATTATAATTAATTAATTTTCTTCTTTCGCAGCCGAGTTAATTGACTTGGCGGTGTAAAAACGTAATTTATCATTGTTCTGACGCAATAATAAGCAAACAACTGTAATTGCTTTCTGGAAAACCTGATGTATTTTCAATAATAATTAACTGAAATAATCAATCACATACGGTTATTAGGTGTCTTCTCTACAAACAAAACTATTGTGTAACGAGATACTGGAAGCGTTGTATAACTTACAAAAAATATCAATTCACAATCTATTACATGCGACATTAATTTTTTTAAATACTAAAAATAACTAATGTTCACGTGCGCACCACTTACTATGTAACACTGATCATTTCAGACGTATTTAACCCCGCGGAGACACACTTTATTGTTGCGGCCGGTCACGTTTTATCTTCGCGTCATCACTGTAACGCTTCACAGCCCTGAAACAAAAAAAAAAGAAACACTTAGGTACTACATACACATCATGAAGCATAATCTAATAATAAAATTTATACGTCACTTTTATAGGTCTCACTCTATTAAATAGTAGCCACGGAGAGAAGTTCGCGCCGTTGATTGCCATAATTTATTATGTTGGTTAAGTAAAGTAATTACAGTTTGACCACAAATCACTTTTTCCACTTGTGTCGGCCACAGCAAATCGATACCAGAGCACACTCGTCAATTCCGATCAAGAAATGTGCCACAATTAAAAAACTAAGTCGGCTCAGAATGCATACCGTGACGTCACCCAGTATCCTCAATACATACGTACAAAAACACATGACTGTATTTTGCGTAATTTTCGCCAAAATTCGAAAACCTCTCGCATGTGCGTTCATCCAGATTCGTATTTTCTGATTAGTCCCCCCTCGCCGAATCGATAATTACCCCACAATTATCGTTCCCGTGGCTACGAGCCGCCGCTGTCTGCTAGTTTGTTGCACCTTGTTAATAACGCTGACTTTGCATATTGCTGGGCTTTTTGTAGCGCTCGGTTCTCGGTGCTGCACGTTTTAGGAACGCCATTAAATGCTGTGCATATGGCATATACGAGACCGCACGTTTAATTTTCACATTATCGTTTTTTTCCCACCTTCATCATCGTCAGCATCATCTACGCGCAGCCAATATCGTTTAGACAGTTTTAGAAGGTGATAATTAGTCTCCGGGATCGGATTTTTTGCCCAACACGTGACCGATTAATTACGCAACGCACCGTGGAACATGGTCGGGTTTGGGTACGTGCGCGAAAATGCCCAGGCGTTTCGACATTTGAATGTTAATCTATTGGAGCGATTTCAAGACATGGAATGATCAGTTTTTAATAAAGTGAGATTGGATGAATGTTTCTGGCAAAAGATAAAGTTTAATTAAGGAGACTAGCAGGGGGGGAATCGGTAGAAAGTAGGCAGTTGATATGGGTTCGCAAATGGAATTTATTAATTGTTTAATATTGCTGACATTTGTAAGAACAGCTAAGAAAAAAATTTGTCAGATCAGGTCAGGTCAGGTCAGGTCAGTGGCGGCGTAGCGTGGTTCTTTTCCCCTTTTTTTTTCAACTAATAAAATGGAAAGATTGTTTAGTCGTGCTTACCTCACTGTGGACTTTAAGTAGGATTTTATCAATTTTAGACAAGTTTTAAGTTTCTTCTTGTCGAAATAAGACTACACATACTAAGAGAAAAGGGCAAAATATAGCCCCGCCCACCCGCCCAATCTCAATTGTGATGATTTTTTATATTCGCCGTGAGCCAAGAAGGCGAAGCTTAACTGCAAAATCCTTATATCTCTACAAGAAATTAAAAATATCTCCGATCTCAATCCTCAATTGTGATGAATTTTTCATTCGTCGTCACATGCATCGAGGGGTGGGCTTAATTGCAAGATCGATGTTTGTCTACAAGAATTTACCATTATAAACATGTTTTAGGTTCCTTGTTCTGAAAAGACGACTACGTTTGTTAAGAAAAAAGGCAAAATATATGCCCCGCCCACCCACCCTCTCTCAATTGTGATGATTTTTTTATAATCGTTGAGAGCCAAAGGAGCGGAATTTAAATGCAAAATTCTTATTATTTCTCACTCTACAAGAAATTGCCCTGTAAGACATTTTTTTGACTATCGTGCTATATATGTGTATTAAAAACAGATATGTATATTAAAAAAAAATTAAGTCAAAGATTAAGGCCTACCCATAACTGCTACATCTAAATAGCAATGAAGATTTCATTGGTTGGCGAACCTAGGGGCGGAGCCTAATTGCAAAATCCAGATTTCCTTACAAAATTTACCATTTTAAACGTACCATAAGTTTCTAAAAAATAAAAAAATAATCACAATTGACATGAGGTGGGTGGGCGGGGTGTATATTATGCCTTACTTCTTAATATACATAATATTCTTTGAACTACACGATGCTCAAAAACATGTTTTTAATTTCTGGTAAAGAAATTTGAAAGTATTTTGCAGATAAGATCTCTTGGTTCACTCCGAATATTTCGAAAATATTGCTCCATGACCCTAAAGATGCTATATTTTTGGAATCAGCATGGCAAGATCTATAACCCTGAATTTTTTGAGAATTTTTCGACAATTTTTTCACACATGAAACTTTCCACATGCATTTCGACCATTTTCGACGACTTTCGAAATTTAATTAAATACATTTTCTTGTCGATTTCGGGCCGCAGAAATCACTTCCGGTGTCATTTCTTCCATAACTTCAACCAATTATTAAAAATTTTAAAAAATTCGAATTTCACTCCGAATATTTCGAAAATGTTGCTTCGTGGCCATAAACTCCCTATATTTTTGGAAACACCATATCGAGATCTATAGATTCCAGATTTTTTTGTGGATTTTTAGACTTTTTCAAAACTGAAATTATTCAGTACCTAATCTCCATTTCTTCAAATTTTGACCCATTTATTGACCATTTTCAAAACTTAACTGAATACATCTTGTAGATTTCGAGCTCTGGAAGTCACTTCCGGCGTCGTTTCCTCGATAACTTCAACCGTTTTTCCAGAATTGCCCATTGAAATATCGAAATTTTTCACATTTTTGAAAAATGTGTTTTTAGAACCCAATATTTCGAAAATATTGCTCCGTTAACATAAACACGCTATATTGTTGGAATCACCACGTCGAGATATACTTATATTCGAGAATTTTTTGTGGATTTTGAGATAATTTTTTCAAAATTGAAATTTTGACCCATTGTCGGAGTTGAACTAAACACATTTTCTTCTGGATTTCGAGCTCTGGAAATCACTTCCGGTGTCGTTTCCTCGATAACTTCAACCGTTTTTCCAGAATTGTCCATTGAAATATCGAAATTTTTCAATGTGTTTTTAGAATCCAAAATTTCGAAAATATGCCTCCGTTACCATAAACACGCTATATTGTTGCAATCACCACGTCGAGATATAGATATATTTGAGAATGTTTTGTGGATTTTGAGACAATTTTTTCAAAATTGAAATTTTAACGTATTTTTGAAGTTTTACTAAACACATTTTCTTGTAGATTTCGAGCTCTACAAATCACTTCCGGTCTCGTTTCTTCCATAACTCCAACCGTTTTTCCAGAATTGCCCACTGAAATATCGCGATTTCTGAAAATTTTGAAAAATTTGTTTTTAAACCCGAATGTTTCAAAATTATTGCTCTGTAACCAAATAATAGTTTTGAAATCACCACGTCGAGATGTATGTCCTAGAATTCCCAGGTCAAGTCTAGTTTAGTAAAGTGTGGTCAGGTCAGGTCAGGTCAGGTCAGGTCAGGTGACTAATTATGACTCAAAATGGTTCAACAAAACTACTGACTTTCATTTTATTAAATTATAATTCACTTAGTAAGAAATTAATCATGATTTTGAAGACACCGTTACTTCTTTTGTCTCGGTTTTGGGGTTCTGAATATTGTAGATTTCGAGCTCTGGAAGTCACTTCCGGCGTCGTTTCCTCGATAACTTCAACCGTTTTTCCAGAATTGCCCATTGAAATATCGAAATTTTTCACATTTTTGAAAAATGTGTTTTTAGAACCCAATATTTCGAAAATATTGCTCCGTTAACATAAACACGCTATATTGTTGGAATCACCACGTCGAGATATACTTATATTCGAGAATTTTTTGTGGATTTTGAGATAATTTTTTCAAAATTGAAATTTTGACCCATTATCGGAGTTGAACTACGAGCCCTAACAACTAAATATTGGGACAACAAAAAATTTTTGTAAAAAAATCATCAAACTTTTTAACAAAAATGTAATTTATTTTAGATAATTAAAATTTTCAAATTACTTCGTCTTGCAAAACTGTTAATGTTTACAGCACAACAAAAACTGATTTCTAACTCAAACAGTGACATAAAACTCTAAAACAACGTAACATTTTGTGACACATAAATATTGGGACACAGCAAATTCGGTAACTGGTCATATCTCCTTTCGCCTTAATAACTGCAGGAATTCTTGTCATCATACTTTGAAGTAATATTCTACAATACACAGGAGTTGTTACCGTATCCTACACTCGCTAAATTTCCTGTTGAAGATTGACAATCGTTTGTCATGGATGATTTCCTAAATATTTTTTTATTTCACGCCATTCCGTCTCTACTAGATTAGGATCTGGGCTATTCGATGGTCAAGGCAAACATTTAGGTTATTATTCTTTGTAATAAGTGTTGTAGGTGTGTAACTGGAAGCATCATCCTGTTGAAAAATATAAATATCAACAGGATAGACTGCTTCAGTAGTTGTTAATATTTTTTTACAAAGTCTCTTGACATTTGTTTGAATTTGTAATTTCCCTTCCATGAACGTTGTTAACTGGTCTTTAAATTCCGTTAATAGACATGCACCCCCAAACCATTTTTCCGCTTGCAAACTTGACTGAATGTTTGAGATAATCCATATTAAAATTCCTTTTTTATTTCAATAACTCTTTTTCGACTATTATCTCACCCATACATCAAATTTGGACTCAGCGTTATATATTACTTTTCTCCAATTTTTATGTTGGTCATATTAACCGATTTTTCTTATGGGCAGTTTTTAATTGTGGTTTTACTTTAGCCTAACATAATATAAATAAATAATAAAGTCCATCGAAGATAGCTTTATTTAAGATTTACAATGTGAAAACCAAGGCCTGATTTGTGTATCCATTCGCGACAATATTGTCTTGAAACATTTAGTTGGTTATCGCTATTCCAGCAAGTAGTAATTTCTCTTGAAGTACTCCGTCGTCCACTTTTATAAATTTTCACCAATTGTCGTTGATCACCCGGCTTCACAAGTGGTGGCCTACCGGGAATTTTACCTTTTATTCCTATGGTACCTCTGTCTGCGTAATATTTTACGTTGTTTACCATCGACGACTAAGCTATTTGGAACAAATCTTCACTTTTTCTTATCGATTTTCCCATG